AGGAATTATCATCCCATTTCCATTTTTAATACAATTATAGTCAAATTTATAGATTTTAAACCCTTGGATTACTTTCTATAGTCTAGACTGAAACCTTTCTCTCCACTTGTCATTAACTTTCACCTTGACATCATGGTGTAAGAATATAGGTGAAGCGATGCGCAGGTTTTATGACGTCAACGTCGGTATTGTCACGGCACCTACAAACTGCACTGGCTTTGTTTACATTTTGTAATGATTGTCAAGATGTGGTCAAGATGTGGTCAAGATGTGGTCAAGATGTGGTCAAGCAACTACTCTTTTATTTCCTAGTTCTATAATCATTGTAAAACTGAAAATATTTATTTAGATGAAAATAGCAACTGATAAATCACATCAAGTTATGCTCAATAATACAATAAAATGCAAAGAAAACTCATTATAGGCAGATATTGGATCCTTGTGGAAAGAAATTCCAATTAAAAAATATTTTGTGCGCTTTTCTATACAAAAATGAGAATTTATTTCCAATTTATATATTTAAGTTAATTAGTTGATATGCATTTTTCTTGAGGTTAAACAAGATAGTGTTCATTTGAAACTGAATTCTTCCGACACAAAACATGAAGAGTATATTAGGTACGTCTAGGATTTAAATCTTTATACCTAGGCATCGCTATCTGATTTATTGAGAACAAGATGATAGCCAAAATTCTAGAACCTAATCTTTTATGGACTTCACCAGGTAACAATAATTTAGAAACTATTTTTTATAATACAGCAAAAATATGACAACCTAACGTTATATCAATTACACTATCAATTTAATTAGAAATTAATTAAATAATACGTACCAATAGTTACTAAAAAGACATCTTGATATATAAAAATAATATTAAATTTTAAGATAAATACAACTATAAAGTTCTAAGCACTATCAAATATTGAAATAACTTAAAAAATCCCTTTTCACATTGAAGACATATAGTATATTTTATTTGTTGCAGTAATGTCACACTCGACACTGTATTCGAACTGTCATACTCGCCAAAAGTATATACTATACGTGTGCTGAAGTCAAACATTTGAAACTACACTGAACAAATCAAATGTGATTAGTGAAGAAAACTTAACACCTAGTGCAACAAATAAAATCCACTCATAGGCATAATAAAAATCTGCTTCGAAAGTGACGTCATGCGCAAGACTGACAGAATTTCGTACCGCTGACCGCTTCACCTATATTCTTCCACCATGCTTGACATCAAAAATTTCCAAGAAGTCAATGATGAATAACGATTTAAACAAATTATTGTAGGTATACCTAATAGTCAAATGATTGAAAAATATTTGTTATATATCTTGTTGTTAATTTATTCAAACAGATAACTCTACCATTTACATAACAATTGCAAATAACTCAAAAAACATTTTGTAAAGTACGTACATACCGAAATAATACTCAATAATACATATTAAAAAAAAATACATTTTTAAAAGATGATTTTATGTACCCTGTAAATAATAACATAGGCACCCACATCTGAAATTTCCTGATCTGACAGATTTATTACTCCGTGTCGATTGCGATTTTACTTATAGTAATGGTTAGTAGAGCTCCATGTCTCAGTCCTACATCAACTTAAAATTTTACATCAATTCAATTTTTTTTTCTTATATTTGGCCATCAACCAGCACTTTTAACCTGTTCCAGGTAATGCAATTTTACTAGTCCTACAAGATTTTCCTATATTTATAAATGTTGCTTCGCCATAAAATGTTTTTCTCTTTTTATCTTATCATAGCTTGTTTAAAATCGATTAAAATCATAATTTACAATGTTATAATAAGTTTTAATCTAAACTATTATCTTTTATTTGTTTTAATATAAATACATGATCGATGACCAATATTGTCATGACATTGATATTGTTCTATTTTCGGTTCTACTACTTTATTTGTTTTTTATATATAGGACAGATTAATCATTCTCTCCATCTCCTGGGCATAGTTTTATCGTCTCATACTTGGATATGTTATTTTTCGGTTCATATCCTCCAATTTTATTACTGTTTTCTTCTGGTACCTTATTGTTTAAATATTCTTAATATTTCGTTTATTTTATCTAATGTTGATTGTTTATTTTTAAATTTCACTTAACATGCCCATTCATATTTTATAACGCCTAAATTTTCTTTCATAACTTCACGCGTACCTCTAATATCTGTGGTAATTTTCTGTATGATCTTTGAAATATCATTATTTTAATTTCTAAACACAATTTATCGTTATTATTTTCCAAATTTAAGAGATTATATATGTTACCGTGAAAGTCCGAAATTCGGTGAATGTCCAGATATACCGTTGAATGTCAACATTCACCAAGTTACTCATTATTTCTAGCTTACACTGCCGAATGTTGACATTTATTATGCACTTATAGTGTATGTTCAAAAGAAAACAAAATAAAACACTATAGGTTATTATTTATTTTTGATTAAAACGTGTGAAAAGTTTTCCAATAAACATAAAGAAATTGTTGAACACAACAAAAATAATATTAATATAAGAAATAAAATACCTGCATTTTATTTTTAAAACTGAATTTAAAAAAACAAAGAAAATGTATGGCAACCTTATTTATTGCAATAATATGAATATTATGAATTACACAAAAGCCTCTTGCTTTTACAGCTACATTTAGCCGTGGAACACTTTTTTTTGCAGATAGCCTTGCTCTTCACTTTTTGAATTAGCAGAAACTGCTTCTCTTAGCGACATTTCTTGAGTTGAAATATCATCCATAAAAATTAACTTTCCTTTACAAATTACGAATTGATTACGGGTAAAAAGCTGCTTTAAGATGCCCTTTTTGTTTGCATATTTATAAAAGTCTGAATCCTCTAATCCAACAACAGTGGCTAATACATTTCGGGGAGCTGTACGACCACATTCGACGTCAGGGATTTTTAATTGTTTCGGTATCACCAATTTTCTGGTTTGCAACATTTTTTTGCTTGGAGTAGAAGATTCTCTTTTGCGGCTCTTCTTTTTAAATAAATTAGTTCGTGTTGTTTAGTAAATGTTTTATATGAAGACGTGCTGGGTTGTGAATCAGTCAGCACCTTAGATGGAAGACGTGTTGGGTTGCGGATCAGTCAGTACTTCAGCTGAAGGTGGATTGGTTCCAATGATATTTTAGCCATCCATGTCACTTTCATCTGAAATCTGGTCATCAATATGGTCACTAACCAAATTTTCTTTAGAAGTATTAACGTAAGCTTCTAGCTGTTCCTTTGTTTCAATGTTGCTACCTAGCGATGCCTCTTTTTAGTTTAACGCCAAACAAAGCTTTATATCGACTCTCTGGCGTATTCCTTCATGATAAGTTTTTTGCGAATTAGAATGTGCTGATTGGCTCTTTTGATTGAGCCTTGTGTTCGGTTACGACGAGGCTTTACGTGTACTATTTTTAACCGACTTCAAAAAAGGAGGAGGTTATCAATTCGTCGCGATATTTTTTTTTTTATGTATGTTCAGCGATAATTCTTTACGGTGTTCGATTTCAATAATTATTTTTTTGCTAAAAAGGGGCTACTTCAGGGGTGGTCCCATATAAATTTGGTCAAAATCTAAAAATGTTGTGATGGCATCTGCTCTTTTTTGAAGTCAGTTTTTTTAAATTTTTAATTTACACTTGTAACTCAATTTTAACTTCTTCTTACATAGCACATAGTTCAGACACAGTTTATAGCTAAAGAATCAGTTAGCTCACTCGGACCAATTGGATGTTCCAAAATAACATCCACTCCAGGGATACAAATTCAGGATGCGCAGAAAACTGCTGTTTGAATATAGGCGGTTGTCATATATTGTATTAGGCATCCAAACAAATGAACTGCCAGTGGAAAGATTTGATATATCCAAGAGTTGCGACATACGATGAATTCTGTTTACAATATACCTAAAATCATGAATAATGGATTACAATTTAATATATTACGTCAAACACAATAAAAATAATAATAAAAATAAGATACATTTTTTCATAAATTGGCAGGCTTGTTGACTATTATTTCGAATAAAAAAAGCGTTCAAGATGCAAGACTATGTCTCTACCCTCTTAGATATACTAGACCTTCTCACTGACAGCTATTGTTTGACAGGTCGTTGGAATGCCAAATTGATTATAGTAAGAGAGCCCACCGCAAATTACGACCGCCATCTGATAACAAAATGAAATATGCTCCAAAGACATGTAACAACATTGTACTTTACCAAATTACACCTGTGCCAATCTCTAATCCTGAGCAAAGTGGTTAAAAAAAAATATTTTATATTCAAAAAATCACTTAAGACATGACAGCGATAATTGTGTTCTCCCTGAAAATTATAATCACAATTCATTTTGAACCTAGCTTCTATACCTAAATTATGAATAATTTTACCTACCTTTTTGTAGAGATAGTCAATAATAATTATAAACTCTTGTTAGACAATTCTTTTAAACCATAATCATAGTAGTTTTTTTTGTCGTTTCTATGGCAACCTGTAAAAATGTATCACAACAATAGACATACAAATAAATTTTTACATCAGCAAAAATTGATTCATATTTTTAATGATTTTTACCTACTAATCGTGTGTAGATGCTTTTGTGCGATGTTAAGAGGAAGAAACTGTTATTATCTGGAAAACTTTAAGGACAGTCAAAATTAGCGCTGTCGAGCCTTATGTGATTTTTTTAATATAAAATATTTTTTGTTTTAACCGACTTTGCTCAAGATTGGGATTAGCATAGGTGCCATTCGGTAAAGTACAATGTTTTTACAAGCTTTTGGGGTATATTTTATTTCATTATCAGATAGCGGTAAACATTTGCAGTGGGCTATAATTAATAAAACTATAATAAAGTTCGGTCTTTCACCTTTCACCAACTTATTTGGTATCTCTCGACATTAACCGGTGTATGTCGACATTCACTAATTTTAGACTTTCACGGTAACATATATATTTTTTAGGTAGACACACTCTTAAAATAGTCGAGGGTGAAGATGCTGACATAAAAGATTACCCTTATATGGTAAGAAGTTAAGATAATTATTTTTACGAAAATAATAATAATAATAATAATAATAATAATAATAATAATAATAATAATAATAATAATAATAATAATTTATCATTTTACAGGCAGCATATACAGGAAATAAAGGCGGAAGGTTAATATGCGGAACTGCTATTATTAACGAAAACACTTTACTGACAGCAGCACACTGTATGTTTTTGTAAGTTTATCAAGATTATAAATAAAAACTGGACCCCAGATAGATTTTCAAGCACCGAAAAAGACTTTTTAAAAATGTTATTAATTGAATACAAAATACAAAGGCTTGTTTACTGCCTTAAAGCTAAGCAAAGAATGAATTGAACATAATATTAAAAGCAAAGTTAATAATAATACAACGTAGAACCGTTATCTAATCTATGCAACTCTGCATAAATATATGTGGACGTCTGTAAATTGGCGCCATGTAACTCCCCCAGTATTTTATTATTCTACTCGTATATTATTATAATAGTCTGGCGGCCTGAGATCTGAAATCTATCATGAACCCTATAGCGGAGTGTCACCAAATGCGACCTTTATATTTAGATTATACTCGATCAAAATATTGCAGAAAGTAATTATCAACACTTTTGTTTCTGAAACTAAAATTTCGACAAAAAGTAACGCGCAGCTTATCAAATATCAAAGAATTACTTATTATTTGTTACAAAAATTTATTAAATTGCTTTGTCAAAATCTTTATTCAAACAAATAGAATTCGTTAAATATACATAGAAAAAAATTCTTCAAATAAAAGTTGCTTGTATATTATTTTCTATAATTTAGGTTCTATACATAATTTTCACTAATAAAAGTGTGTGATGTTATTCTCTATAATTCCTGCCCGATACAAGATTTCTCTAAAATTGACCGTGTTTGAGAAAAAGTGCAAATTTCGAAGATAACTCAAAAACAGATAAAGAAAAAACGCCAAATTTTAAATTTGAGCTTTAATCCATCCTGCAATTAGCTTAATAAATATTGGGCAAAGTTGAAGCATCTGGGGGGGGGGGGTTACTTTAAAGGGTGGCGTTTTTATTTGCGATTGGAAAAGAAAATTATTAAAATAAAAGTTGTTTGAGATATCATTCTCTATAAGTTTTGTTCTATAAATGATTTCTCTAAAATGGAATGGAAAATTTTAAGGGAAATTGTAAAATTATTGATAACCATGAATATAAATATAAGAAATTTTTGAGTATGAAGTATGTGAAAAATTTATTGTAGTTCATCCTCTAAACATTTACAGGGGTGATACAATAGGTTATTATTATAACATCAAATTGGTTGATTGGTCGATTAAATGTTGAAACTAAAGCCTCTATGCATCAAGTAATATAACATAAAAATGTATCTTACAAAGGGATGCCAGCTTTAAAATTGGGTTGACCCGGAAAAAAAAAGCAGGAGAAAGGAAACAAATTTTTATTTTACAGCTTATTTTCTTCAAAAATAACAATTTACTCAAGAAAAGAAGTAATTTTTATTTCCTTAAAAATATAATTAAACATATTCATTAAGCATATTTCATTATCATAGAGTATTTTTAAATGTTTCAAAATTTAAAGTTATATTTTTTATTTTGACATAGTTATAATAAAGTCTTTAGTTCACCTTTCTCTAAATTCTTGACAAGTCATATTAATAGTATATTACATTACGAGTGTGGAAAATCACTTTTCACACAAGTGATGTACAATATTTTTCCTACGACCACAAAATAATGTCATCAAAAAAATGTAAAACCAAGGTTATTATTACTATAATAATTAAAATGTATTTAAAAAAATAATCAACAATAATCGTATTTATTCAATTTTTATATTTTCTAAACAAAAAAAAACTAAAAAAAAAAACAAAAAAAATTCTGTCCCGCCAGGATTCGAACGCGGTAGAAAAATGGCAAAGTTGATAAGTTCGACGTCCTAACCACCTGAGCTAATAGCCCTTGTGTCAATTAAATGATCTAATCGGTTATGTATTTAACCTGAATAATGAGCAAACATTATTTTAAAATTATTTTAATAATAATTGTTAAAGATAAATATCTAGGATCTAATTTACAACGATTTCAATAATTTAACAATCATATCGATTTTAGTATTAATATGGACATTACATAGATCATAATAGAAATTAGGTGTTTGACATTTTGTGACAACTACTGCGGAAAGTAACATATTCTCACTCGGGTGGAAAGTAAATTCTTATTCATACGCGTGTGATATAGGGCACTTTCCATAGGACTATATAGTGTGATATGTGTCACTTTCCTAAGTGGTCGTAGGAAAAATTTAATTTAGTGCCTAATAAAATTCTGCCTTTACCAAAGCCACTCTCATTCGATTACATTGATCACTCCACAGCGTTGCCACAGCTTATACAATACAGCTAAAACACTCTCTTGGCGGCAGCGGTTTGCGTCGATTCCGTCGCGCATCGCTTAAGCTCCGCCTTCGGACGGAAAAGACGGCTTTGGCGTTCAGAAACGTACTTAGGTAAAAATATTTATCCGTGCGTATAATTTCGTTGATTGCATAATTTCGTTGATTGCATAATTTTGTTGAGCCTATAATTTCGTTGATTTTGTTTGAGCTCTCTGTTGTGTTAAGTTAAAGGTACTGTTATTATTTTGATGACTCTTTAGCTGTGAGTAGAATGAGTGAAAAAAAAGCTGTTTTAATAAGGGTCATACCTGCAAGAAAATGTTCTTTTGTTTTCCCAAGGACCCTTACCGGAAAGTACCATATTATAAGAAATTTTCATTGTTAATAATATAATTTATACAGGGTGTCCCGTTAGTGTGTAATTGTTCAATATTTCAATTTGTATTGTAGACAAGCAAAAAAGTTTTAAATATAAGTTATATGGATTTGAAAAGCACATATTTTAAAAAAAAATTTAAATATACAGGGTGTCGTGTTTTTTCCTAACAAATCAAAATGTATGTTTTTTAAATAGAACACCCTTTATTTTATTTTATTTTTAGAATGGTTTGGTAATACTGCATTTAACCCTAGAATGCATTAAAAAATATTACAGTGTTGCCAAGCAATTAAATTTTTTTTTGAAATTAGAGAATGATGCAGAACCCAAATTAAATTATCATAATTTAGGAAGGTTTACATTGATTTCAAAATTGTTTAAGATATTAGGCTAACGAATAGTGGTGATAGAACTGGTTTATTTTATACAGAGTGTTTTGAAACATGTCTTAAACTGACCGTGTAAGGTACATCTACTCACCAAAAAATGATTTGCAAACACTGTGCATTCATATTCGTGTCAAATAAACCTTAAGTAGTAAATTTGACTCTGTTCAAAATAATTTTTCTACGCCCACATAAATATTAGCTAATCTACGCTTAGACTAAAAAACGAAAAAGTATGCTATCGTGTTCAACTAAATGAATATATTTTATATCCATTTTAGGTAGTGAAAACACTTAAAAAAATGAAAAAAAATAAATAAATTTCAATCAATATATATGATACCTATTAATTTAATTACGAGTATTAAAACTAAAATCCTAAAAGTTTCGATAAATTATTTTAAAATTAGTTATTTTGTCTAAATAACCTAAAATAATTTTTTAAATTTGTAGATTTTCGTCAGTGAGTCGTAGAAAAAATATACTGTACAGCTCGAGTGAATTGTCTATATTCACTCTTGTTGCACAAAACTACTATTTATTTGTTTTCTTGTTTTAATGTTTACATCAGTAAATAGGAACTAAATTAATTTTTTAAGTTTTCTTGTATAAATCGATATTACTTTCTCCAAGTATAAATTTAGTACCTACCTAAAATAGGTACTAATTATGTAATTTCGCGCAATATTGTAATTCAAATTTCACATTACTATCAAGTTTCAAAATTCCCTACTTCGGTACGGACAGATAAAAATTGAATATATTATATTAATAAAAACTGTCAAAATATTACTTCTACAAATCTTTATTCCAATTAATAAGAATACATCTGAAAAAAAACAATATTGTTAAAATAAAAGCACAAGTGACCGAGTCTTTATAATAACCCAGAATACCATCGAGTTCCCAGACCTCAGGCGAAGCATTCATTTATCTAGGTATCTTTGCGCGATGAGTACCACTTGATTTGCATCCACGGGCGTGACAGAAGTCGTTAATAATTGAAGCCCTTAGTGTAAAAAGGATGCAAGCCACAATTTGTCGTGAAGTGACTGTTTTAGCTCAAAAAATCTGTTAACAAGGATATTACTAGCTACATTCAAATTATTTTACCTCTAATCCGAAAGATGTGCTTTTTTTTCGTAATATTTATATTTAAATAATTTTTTTATTTATATTTGACAGAATTAAAACATATTTAACACTTAATTTCTCAAAATTTACCTAATTAGGCATGTAACCAACCTTATTACGGCCAAGGTCTTCAATTATTTCAATAATAAAAATATTTTTTAATCCGGGCCAGACTTTTCCATCGAATCTAACAGAGATAGCACCATTCCGTCTTGCTTGGTTCTCGACCGCCAAATCAAAGGTGCCGACACGGAGTTGTGGATCTGTATTGTATAAGGATAAGGTGTGGCGTTGCGTTCCTTATACGAATTGAGAAAATTTTACTTACAATTTTAAGCAAATGATACTTATTTGCATTTTAAAATATCTTGCATCGTATTTTATCCACGTCTGTTTCAAAAAGTAACTGAATACTCTTGCACTTTTTTAATAGTTTTTTTAGAAGAATTACGTCATTATCATGGCCGCCGAGAGCCAAGTGGGACCCCGGGACAATTTTCCAGGTCGGGCCCTGCGACAATAAACGTCCTCACCTAAAGCTCCCGGGACCTCCTTGTGCCACGATGGACCCCCACTTGTGCCCGGGCCCCGGGAATTTGTCCCGACTACCCCCCCTCTCGTCGGCCCTGGTCATTATATAACTCGTCTTCATGTATTTATAGTTTGATGAAATTTTTTTGGCTTTAAAACTTGGGAGTACTCAATATTCGTATACCTATTTTTTTTAAATTTAAACAATCAAAATATTTAAAAGACGAGTTTATAAAATTATAGTACCGATCTAAGTAATCCAAAGTTCTTTGGTAGGCCAAAGAAACTTTCTTTACAAATGTCTGTTTTTCAGATGATTATATTTTGCTTCCAAAAAATGTATCGAAATTTCAGGTTTCAAATCATTTTTTAATTTGCTATTTTGAGTTTTAGAAAACTTCATATTTTTTTATAGCAGTTTTCCCCGCCTAATTATTGTTACTTGTTACACCGTTGTCAAATGTTTAACTTTTTTCTAGCAGAAAAACATTTTTTTTTTTTTTATTTTGGTGAAATACGAGGTTTGTTCCAACAATCGCGAAAACGATAATATTTCGGTACAAATTATGCGCTGTACCTACACAAAAATTGTATACAGCGCATGATTTGCATCGAAATATTATCGTTTTTGCGCTTGTTGGAACAAATCTACGGCTTAACCCGGAGAAAATAGCTAGTAAACCGGAGCCCGGAAACCATATATCAAAACATTAACAAAATTTTCAATTTAACATTTTATGGGAGGATTGTTATAGTTTAGAGATGGAAGTGTTCATCGGAGGGAAAAATGAGGGAAAATATTTTCATGTTGAAAATTGCCAATTTCAAATTAAAATTGCCTTGTTTCAGGATATTTTTCAAAAGTTTATGATCACTCTCCAAATAAATGTATTCTAAAATATCAATTTATGTCACTCACTCAAATCTAACGTAAATTTAATTATTTATTGTTCAACATTTTTAGTGAGAAACCATCTGAAGCAACGATTACTTATGGCGCTACGATATTTTATGAGGGCACACAAACAAATATCTCTCAAACATTTATACACGAAAATTTTACTGGAAAGTCTCCATTCACAAATGACATTGCAGTATTAAAGGTAATTAACTTTTTATTTTTTACAATGGCAGAACTAACGATTCAAATTATTTATGTTATGATGGGTATGAGATATTAATACAATCGACTTTTCATTTCTTCATCAATATTTTTTTTATTAGCAAGTTCAAGTTATGGGAACGTTAGGAAATATTACAAAAAAAAAATAATTGGAAAAAGTCGTTAACTTTCATAGATAGCGAAATGTTCACAATTGTGTACATCAGATCACAAGTATTGTAAAATAATTTATTTCAAAAATAAACACATGCAGTAAGTCAACGTTAATAAATAAAAGTAACAAATTAACAAAATAAAAACAGAAATATTATTTTGAGTGAAAAGACATAAAACAGTTCTTCTCTTTGGAGGAACATAAATGAATATTGCACTTTTGGCATCTACTTAGTTGCGTTTTGTTTGATCCACACCAAAAGTTACCAACCTTTTCTGAATCGCCGCCCCCTTTAAAAGAAAAAAATCCATTACCCCTCCGAAACAAAAAACAAGTAATTTTTTATGTGAGCCATTTAAATAGTGCAAATGATAAATAAACTGAAGGTTTAATATGAAAATTTTGTCGGTTTAAATTGCCAAAACAAATGCTAGAGAAATCGGGGTGCAATAACAAACAAAAGAAAATTAAAAAATTGAAAAAGATTCTGCTGTAGGCGGGGCTCGAACCTGTTTCGTATTATCGGTACCTTATTTATCCATTAAAATTCATAGAGTAAAAATTAATGAATTGACAAGCAACTGTACAATAAAATTGTTCATTAAAGTTTTAAAAACCAACATTAAATCAGTAAGACATAAAAAATAAGATAAACGCAAAATTAATAGTTAATAAAAAAAAAATTATGAGTTTTTTGAGGCTGGTGGAGTTTTAGCAAATTGTTAATGTCTGGTTCCAATTTCGTTAACATCGTCGCAGATCGTCACGTTCTTTGATGTGTAATCTGTTCCGCTTCTTTGACACTAAATTAGCTACTGCACTAAATTCACGCTCAGCCATATAGAACGAAGAAAATGCGATTCTGTACTACTGCTACAATTCAGGATAGAGAATTGATATTGATTTTTGGAGCCAAATTTCTTAGAATCCATGTTTGAATTTTACTTTAAGTTCTTCGTTAGTGGCGAGTTCTAATGGCGGTTTTCCACTAAACGGACAAAACAAAAACTCGTGTCGAAAAAAGAAAACTTCAACTTTTCGCAAACTTTTTGAAGACAGTTGGAGTTGAGTCCCGCTCGGGAGCAGTAACATCAAAAGGTTTCAACGTATTTTGAAACTCGAGTCTGTTTACTGGAAACAGTCGCGCGTGTTGTGTAGTCTAAATGTTGTATAGTTAAGTAAATAAGTTATTTTTTGAAATAAGTAATTTATTTTGAAACGGTTGATACATAATATAGCCCACTATAAAGCCCTAAAGACGGTTTTCCATTAACGGACAGTTGAGTTTGTTTTGTTTGTATTTTCTGGAACTTGAAAAATAAAAACAAAACTGAGACAAACCCAAAATTCTTGTTTTCATCAAGCGGACTCCATTTTGTTAAAGTTTTGTTTTTGTTTTCGGTCCTTTTCCACTGGCTGTTGCGCAGAAGTCAGAACTCATTTTTTCAATATTTTTTTTATATTTGTATATACATACCTATTTTTTTTTAATATGGGTCCAAATTGAAAATACATATAAAAGTAAATTAAAAGATGTATGTGACATCATAAAAACCTAAAGAGGACCATATTTGGACTTAACCTAGCCTTTGACACTATATATTCTACTAATAAATATACTTATATAAATTTATCCAGGCAGCGTTTCAAAATAAATTACTTATTACTAATTATTTACCTATAAAAAAATACAATATTTACTTACCTATAGGTATCAATTTGGTACAAAATTTAGACTACACAACACGACCGTTTCCAGTAAACAGACTCGAGTTTCAAAACATATCAAAACCTTTTGATGTTACCGCTTCCGAGTTTGTGTTTTGTTTTGTCCGTTTAGTGGAAAACCGCCAAAACAGAGGTGGGTTACCGAATACACGTTCCAGTATACAAACTTCTTATAACAACACAATAGTGTTTTATAAACTAACATATTATGTTAGGAGTGTGTAGGAAAAGTTTAGAAATTACGAATTATTTTAGATTTTGATTAAGATTTTCATATTCTAAAAACACAATTTTTGACTTTAAGAAAAAAATAACCTGCCCTTTCATTTCCATATTTATTTAATAGAATAATAAATAATATTTTAAATATTTTTAGATTGACCCTCCTCTAGTTTTTAGTGAAACCGTCCAACCAATTAAGTTGCCGCAAAGTAATACGCCAAATCCAGAAGGAAAAATTGCAAAATTCGCAGGATGGGGTATAAGTAGTTTTGTAAGTTTTAAAATAAAACAAATGTTCCTTTATGATTTATCAATTTAATTTTAGGAAATATTCCACATTACAACAAAACTTCAAAAAGTAAATCTGACAATAACCGATAATGAAACATGCGAAGGAATTTTTAAGGGTACTGATCATCCGGTCGACTCTGAAAAGCAAATATGTGCACAGGCTGATACGTCTGATGGTAAAATGAGAGGAGTATGTAATGTAAGTAGGCAACAAAAGTCATACGTCCAGAAATAGAGTAGATTTACCTGCGAAAAATTAAAAAAAAAGCAAAAAAAAATTTGTGTGTTCCAATTCATATCTTGATGATCTACTTTTATTTGCTCCAGGGTTATCTGGCTTGGATTGTTTTTGCGGTTTTTTTTTTTTAATTGATTATTTAAAAACGCGGCGCAAACGACTGACCTGAAATGAAAAATTCTTGTCCTGTCTTCATCTAAAGGATATTTGAAACGAAAAAGCGCGGAAGAAAACTACTCTAGTATTTACAGATTTTCCTCTATAACAGTGGCTGTTAACTGGTCACTGGTCATCCGTGGAAGCATTGGAATAAAATAAAAGAATCCAGCCGCAATAAATGCACACTATTTTGTTCGTAGTCAATTAGTGGCTACCAAAATGCTCCCAGAATATTTCGCTGAAACAATGAATATTGATGCTAGGAAAGCAATTACTTAGTTAAAAGTAGCGGCCTCAAAAAACAAGTTTCATAAAATGATGTCCTAGTATGTAAAATTGCTCATAAAAGACTTGTTGGATTAGTTTGGTCACCTTAAATTTCCCATAAATTTGTCTTATTTAGTAGATTTTTCATACAGCTCAATAAACTAAAACTTAAGGATCAATAATAAGGAAATTTTAAATTAGAAGGCATGGATAATGTCTTTATTAACGTATTTATATTTTAAGATAAATGTAATGCGTTCGTTTCTAAAATCTACCTTTGAATTAGCCAAATGGATGCTAATAATTTCTCCTGAAACGAAACTAAAACTAAAAGTCTATCGTTAAGGAATACTATGTTGATGTTCAAGAACAAATAAAAACAGATTACACTCCACTTGGTATAATTGAAAAACGAATTCAATTGGTATTTTTCTGCCTGGCAACTCTACAAGAAGTTACTGAATGGCATATGCGACAGTAATTGCAAGGATATATCCAAGATAGGAACAAAACTTGAAAATATTTGAAGTCAAAATACAAATTCTGTTCCAAAAATTCAACAAATTGCGAGCAGGGATTTTCGGCGCTTTTAATAATCAATAATACATTCAGATATCATTTAAACGCCAGTGCCTACACCGACAGGACAATTGATCCACCGGACCATTGACCGACAGGAATATTAAACGGTAAAATAATTTACCATGACAATTTAGCAACAGGGGCCCTATTCTCTATTTCTAAATGTCACACGCGACATTGACGAAATGTCGAATAAGAACGCAAAAACGTATTTTGGAATGACGAATTCGACATTTGTTGTTAGACATAAAATCGAGTGGTATTCAACCAGTTGACATTGAAATGTCGCATGCCTTTTTAAATATAATGTCATAATATGAGTGTCGTGACAGTGACAGTTCTTTTATATTTATTTCTAAGAAAAATTAAAATATCTATTGTACAAATTGTTTTTAAAAATATATATGAAATTATTATTTACAATTTCACCTATTTTATCAATTATTAGTCCTGTTCAGTGTCGGACTGGGCCGTCAGTCTACCAGAAAAAGACCGGTAGACCTTCGTTCAAGCTGTGGGTCCTCTTTCAGGCAGTGGGCCCTTGTTCGGGCAAGGTCCTCGTTCGGGCAGTGAGTTCTCGTTTAGGCACTGGGTCTCATTCAGTGGGCCCTTGAGAATAAGAAATGCGAAATAACCCTTGGAAAATGCACCAATGTGCAAAGAGGACCTTATTTTGCTCCTCAAGGAAGCGGCCCATGAAAAAAAATTAATAGGTGGGCCTTCTCCGTTCTGACCGGTAGACACTGGAAGTCCCGATCCAACACTGCTCCTGTTTATCCAAGAGATTTAATACCTGTCATTAAGAAATTTATATAGCTCAATTTTTTCAAATTGCAGGTAAAAAGAATATATCACATTTTATGTAATGTTTAGATTATATTATAATAATATATTTTTTCTTCTTCTTACTATTTAATCTCTTACCAAATTGTACTTCCAATTTTCTATTAAAACCCTTATGAAATTTCAGTTAAAAGATTATATTATATTTTCTCTACTTTTTAATTAGTATTTATTAAAAAAACATATATTTGGGATATATTTGCAGTATTATTTTGTATTACTAAGAGATCCTTTAAGTAATTGTATGCTCTAATATGCTCGTCTTGTATATTTCTATCCAATGTTGCCCGATGTTACCATTCGCCAAATATGTCACCGATTACAAAATGTCGATTTTCCTTTGAGAATATGGATAGTGTCAGTCGATCGATATTTTGATAGACATTAGTAGTAGACATTAAGACGAATGCGACATTTTTAATAGACATTCGAGAATAGGGCCCCTGATCAATTGACAGACAGGTTAAATCTCCGAGCAATTACTAATAGAGGGAGCGTGAAAACGAGTTTGTAGGCGATTGTTGTGTTAGCAACATCTGTAGAGGAAGTGAGGAAGCGGGCACAAGGGGGAAGGTAAACATCCTTCTTGTTCAGTGGCGTATCATTTATCTATAAAAACACACATTGTCCAAACGTTTTAATTGTAAAAAAAAACTAAAAAATTTGCTAATTTTACTATTTTTAAAATGAATACCGTCTTATATGTGTCTAATGCAGGAAAAGAAACAAAATCACTTTAAAGGTCTAATTTTTTCAATTGAAGAATAAAACCTTAAAATCAATTTTATTATTAATACAGGAGCGACTAGTTTCGGCCTTACAGGAACATCTTCAGGCCCGTAATATAATAATATTTAATTATTATAATAGGTTGGTCGCTTACGAATAACATTAAATAGTATAAACCACAAAAATGGATCCATATTGTAGCGTTACAGCATTTTAGAATTAAAGCTGTGAAAATAAAAGAGCAGTGTAAACGTAACTAAAAATAAGAAAACTGATTACGGAATCTACAAGAGAAGAGGTGAGAATGAGCAATTACGAATGCATTTAAATTGCTCGGGATAACAAATAAAGCTGATAATGTAGTGGTATAGTCCCCGTCAAAGAAGGTCTGGATATGTTAAAGAGAACGGCGTTTTCTCTGTAAATCTGGAGAATGTAAGGATGGAGGGAAGACGAATCTTGCTGGCTCAGGTGTAGATGGCTAGAAAAAGGAGCGTGTAGATGAAAGATCCAGTAAATATAATCACTTTCGTCTAATTTTTTATTCTCACTCACCGTTTCGGCTTTATCTTCGAAATTCATTTTTAAAAGGAAATAAAAGTAATCATTCATACAAGCATATAATAAAACAACATGAATTCATTATATTTAATAAGCTAATAAACGTTTGTTTCAATGAAAAAAACATATATGTGAGTATAAAAAATATATAAATTAATATCAAAATCAATTTGAAAATACAACAGATATAAAAACGAAATAAATTAGTACAAGTACAAATAGAAAGTTAATAACACCTTCTAAAAGTAATACATTTTAAGTAGATAAATATTTAAAGAGTTTATTCCTGAACATAACTAATCTAACGTTTTTCCCCTTTTTAATATTATGAAGGTTTCTGTAGTTGAAATGAAAATTATAATTTATTTTGCTCCTAATAAAAATTTAAACATAGGTTATCAAAGCGTAAAATTCATAATAGAACTTCATAATCTTAAATCGTTATCAAAAATTATTAATGGTAAAACTTCAAACAATAGATTCTTAAACAAATTTCTAGTTTTTGTTTTGCAAAAGACTTTTTTGCCTTTTATTTTAGTAGTTTCGAGGAGAATTTTCCTGTGGAAACCAGTAGAACCATCAATTGGTTGGTAAAATTTTGATATTTTAAGTCTGGTAAGTCTTGTTAAACTTTCTTCTTAGGAAGCTATAACCTTATGGAGAATAAAAATTTTATGTTAGATCAAAAGCTCTTAATTGAGAATTATATTTGCAAAGGCCGTTTTAATATTATTTTCAAAAGTTCTTGGAATCGTTGTTAACAGAAACCTGCATAAAAATATATAATTTTATTCCTAAAATATAAGATATCACACAATGCACATTCATATAATATCATTGTGCTAGAAAAATACTAGGTAGTTACTGAGACAATTTAAAAAAAGTATTTCAAAAAACTCAACTTTTAATGTCATCATTGTACTTAACTTTTTATTGCTAAATTATTAGTAATGTCATTTTGTGTAGTTCGTTGTGATTTGTATAATATATATTATAAAAAACTATCATCAATGTTAATGTGCCAAGTTTTTTTAATAATTATGTCCTTGTTATAGTAAAAACACATTTAACCACATTTTTAAAGTTTTCTGGATTTCTGCTTTAAATTGTCGTACAATTGAACTGACTAATTGTGAGTTTAAGTAAAGGTATATCTCTTTTTTGTTTTAACAGTCTTTGTATATTGTTCTGACTATTTAGATAATCAGAGAAAACAGTAAGACATATCTTAATATATCCTATTTCACCAACAAAAATGTAGAATAATCAATCTCACATCAAACGAAAAAAGTAATTTTAGGGTGTCCTAATAGGTTTTAACTTAAAAACTAAATAAAATGTATATTGCAACTGTGTTTAAACAAATGAATGTTTTTATACCTGACTATAGCACCAGACAAACATTTTTTTAGATCATAATGATCTGCATAACTCAAAATAGTCAAAATCCACATTATTTAAGTTGTTCTAGTATTGTTTTACCATAACGATGTTAACTCCAATAATAAATATTCATATTTTTTTTGGGACGTTTTTTAAGGAAATTAAAAAAAAAACATGAATAATGTGATATTCTTGTTTAGTTGTGTACTATATAATATAGTTCATTAGGTAGTGATTTAGAAGAAAATTATGTTCTATTTATAGAATAAAAAATCACTCATAATATCTAAATATTTATACCTATTTATATTTTGGACTATTTTATGTTTTTGGCTCTGAATAGTTTTCTTAAGAATTTTAAAACCTTCCTTAGCTCTTTTGGGATATTCCATGCATATCTTAGAAGTTCATTTTGTTTAAACCTAAAACAAATTAAG